CGATCGCAATTGAACATTGTCAATTGACATTTTGCGTTTGTTCCGGTTTATTTACTATATTCTTATTTTTGTATTTTGTTTTGTAAACACCGATTTATTTTATGCGTGGTTTGTATTAATAATTGTATTGTTTGTATGTTTTTATACCATTGACATATATATATGTATGTATTATATATATATATATATATATATATATATATATATCCATATTTTTATGTTTTTGTTGTAATATTATTAATTTGTTTTTCATCTTTTTATGTATAGTATGTTTGCTGCTAATTGGTAGGTTTTGTCTTGTTTTGTCGGTGGTTTTTAATAGAATCGACATCTTTCTGTTTTGGTTGGTTTATGGTTGTCTTTTGGTGTGTCTGTTGGAGTGTTTCATAGTAGGTAATAGTTAGGTTTGTAATATATTCTTCTTCTTTTAAGTAATATATTCTACTTTAATTATAATGGTATATTTGATTATGTATATTTATGTTTAATTTTACACCTTTTTAAAATAGAGTTTTATACAGTCCACTGGCTTTGATTTCTTTTCTTTAGTTTAATATACATACCCATTTCGAAAGGGGGAAACCAGCGAGTTCTGGATTGAACAGAATATCTTCTCTCCCCTTCAGGATGATCTCAATTGTTATATTGAGGTCATCGTATGTGCAGAACGCAACAGTGATTACATATTTTATTATTAATAAAGTAATTGATCACAGTATCTTAGAAACACAGTACATACATTATACCAGCCATTTATCGACACTAGTTTTTATCATCAAAGGTAATTACCAAAATCTGAAGCGGAACAGGTCCGTATTTAGGATAATCAAATTTAAAATGGAATTTATGTTACTGAGAATAACGATGAATTATCTCAATCTACTTCACAACCATCTTTATCTTACTCAGCTGCAGCCAGTAAACAACAAGAACCAATCTATCCATCCAAACTACAAGCAATAGTTTTCAATTCTCTCAATAATGTCAAATTAGAAGAATACTTGTTAGTGATAGAGATACTCTAGTTAGTCCAAAACATATTCTTTTTTCATCAAGAATCACCAACAATCGTATCTATATTTATTTCTCAAGCAAACAAATCGTAAATGGATTTTTTGCAAACAATGGAGGTTTCATTACTGTAAACAATATAGACATTTAAGTCTGTAGACTAATTACTCCAAGTGAAAAATCTTAATATCCAATGTTATCTTCCACTATCCCGCATAAGATAATAGAGAAAGAACTTTTATCTTCAGGCTAAAACTAACTTCATCAGTGTCATTTTTGCAAATAGGAACTAGCAAGCACCAGGAATGCGAACAAATTTACGATCCCATTGTTATAACGTATGATGACAGTAACAATCGAATTTTTTAACGATAGACAATGTATGTTTCTATTGCACACAACATGGTCACATTCCCAGTAGTTGCTCAGTAACTGTAAACAACTCTGTCACCAAGCAGCAACGACTGGTATGACACCTTCAACAACGAGTACCTCTACAAATATATCAAATACCTCAACGTCATCTTCAAAAACATCATCTACAACCCACTTAATAACGCACGATACATCGACTACAGTTAATGCAATATCAGTATTATCTAAAACAAATATATCCATTTCACCAACACATCATCCCACACAAGCATTACTAAACAGTGTTTATCTTCTAGTCAACACAATATTTTCAGCTCTCTTATGAAAATAAAGACTGTCCGGCACCACAAGAATTTAGCTATTCCAACGAGGAAAGTACAATGTATTTTCAAAGCGAATCCTAGAAACAAAAAAGAATAAAAACAAAACCATCGACAGTGTCTTTAAAAACCCTAATGCCACCAATTAAAGAATTGTTCGATTCCGAAAAACAAATGTTAACCTTCGAGAAAACAGTTGATTTATCTTAAAACATTCAAGGAGCTAACGATGTTATCAGTGTTACAAATAAATATACCTCAGACACTCAAGCATTTATACAACTCTTATCCAAATTCCATTCATGTACATCCGATCGTCCGCTAAAATTGAAATGTACAAAGTTAAAAAAGAAACTAACGAAACAACTCAGAAAACTCAAATACGAGGATGAAAAACTCGACACGAATATGTCGAGTGAGTTATCCCAGGAGCTTAACATTTAATTAAAAAATAATAATCATTCAATTTATTAGAAAGGAATATAAACGGGTTTTATACCCATTATGATATGCTTCAAATTTTAGTTAATGATCTTTCACCTGCTATTATTTGTGTTCAAGAAACAAATTTCTAAGACCAACATTGTCATAGATTTAATAACTTTTGGACTTTTTATTAAAAATAGAACAATCAGGAAAAAGCAAGTGATGGACTGGTTATTTATGTTCATAACACCCTTGAAGCACAAACAATTCCTCTTAGAACAGACAACGAAGCTGTAGCCGTCTCAGTTAAAGCTTCCCAATGCATTCATGTATGCTGCATTTATGTTGCCCCAAAAGCCATTGTTCCTCTCCATATGCCCAGGCTAATATTAGGAGATTTTAAAAGTCACAACCCAATGTGGGCTCAACAAATTTTAATACCAAAGGCAGGCTAATCGAAGACTATACGCTGAGGCCATAGAAATAAACATAGAATCACTAGACATCAGTTTTGACAACACTGATATAAATGAAACTCTAAACATATTTACCAATATTATTATATACGCGGCAGAAACACATATAGGAAAAACTAAAATATTAAGGAACCACGGACCCCTAACATGGTGGAACATAGAATGTCAAAACGAAATCAAGATATATAAAGTATCTTTCAACAAAATAAATGAAAAACATAATAACGCAACTAACATAATTAAATACAAAAAACAGAGAGCACATGCTAGATATATAACAAAAACTGCTCGAAAAATCAACTGGAGGAAATTTGTCTCAAATATAAATAGTTCAACGATTTTATCTACAGTAAAAAACAAATTTTATCAAGTACCTTTTATTACTCATAATACTAATGTAATAACAAAACCCAATGAAATAGATAATGTTTTTGCTACAAATTTCGACACAAACTCCAGTAATAGTAACTATTCCGAAAAGCATTTGATACGGCATGGCGTCATGATATTATCAGAACACTTCATATATGGAATTTGAGAGGTAATATCTTTAATTACATTTTAAATTTTCTTAAAGGGAATTTTTCAAGTAAGGGTTAACCACTGCACATCTTCAATCAGACATCAAGCAAATGGCACCCCTCAAGGGTCTGTAATAAATGCAACGCTATTTTTAATTTCCATGAATAATATTATACCATCAAAATCTAGCTTGGTTCTTGGCAGATTATATGCAGATGATCTGGTGTTAATATGTTCAGCGTCACTTACAAACCGCACTTCACGAACTCGAAAACTGGTCGAAGAAAACAGGATTTCAGTTTTCACTCAGAAAATCAAAGTGCTTGTTATTCACAAAAAACGTGATCCAATTAAATCACAGCTAACATTATATAATCAAATCCTAAATTACGCTGATGACATTAGGTTTTTAGGAATGATCTTCGATACGAAACTAACATGGAAAAAACATATACTGTATTAAAAAAAAACGTGCCAAAATGGAATCAATACATATTGTGAAAACTTTTCTAATGAAAACTATCGAGTGGACTATAACTGCTTAATCCATGTTTATAAAACCCTAATAAGATCTAAAATAGATTACTGTTCTGTAGTATATGCATCTGCCAAAGAATCTGTATTACATCACCTCGACGTTATTCAAACTACGGCATTAAGAATAGCTACAGGAGCATTTCGGACCAGACCAACAGAAAGTTTGAGAGCATAAACTGGAGAGGCACCAATTAAATATAGAAGGATGCATTTAACTGTGACATATGCATTTGCCGCTAATTCTAATTCGAATAATCCAACTACTGGTCGTTTTAAAAACATATACTGAAAATAGGAATGTGAAACCACCATTCTACGAAAGGGTTAAGCAAACTCTCATGGCTTTACAAATTTCGATATCAAATACATATTCCAACTTCATAAGAATTCCTCCTTCTTGGATAATGAGCATTCCTCAATCCGACTCATCCTTAAATATCTTTAGAAAAAAAGATACTCCCTACTCCTTAAAACATCTACTGGAGTTGGGGCAGCTGTCGTTTCTTCAAATATTACACTTCAGTATAAACTAACCTCCTTAAGATGCATACATACCTCTTCTTTTTCATATACCATGTCCTTTCAGAACGTTGGTTACCATCATAGCTATCTTAATTTTATTCACTGCCACCCTAAATAGCATGCTTGTATCAACACCATACCAATCTCGCAAGTTCTTCAACCATGAGGTTCTTCTTCGTCCTGGACTGCGTTTGCCTGCTATTTTTCCTTGCATGATATTTTGTAGCAACCTATATTTGGGACCTCTCATTACATGTCCGAAATACTCCAGCTTTCTCTGCTTGATGCTTTTTATGATCTCAGTAGTCTTGCTGAGACGTTCTAGTATTGTGGAGTTTCGAATCTTCTCCACCCAGGAAACTTTTAGAATTCTTCTATAGCACCACATTTCGAAAGCCTCAAGGCGATTTAAATCGAATTTATTCACAGTCCAGGACTCGACAGCATAAAGTAAGACCGAGAACACGTAGCAGCGAAGTAGGCGGATCCTTAATACCAGTTTTAGGTCTCTGTTACATAACACCTTGGACATCCTTCTAAAAGCACCTCTAGCATACATACCGGCGAGCTATAATCGTATATAAAGAATGAATGAGAGAGGGATAGAGGAATGAAGATCAGAATAAAATGGCAGATAAGATAAATCAGGGAAAGATCTAGTGGTACTAAGCAATGAAGTTCTCATCGTTTTTGGCGTCGCCATAAAGAAAAGTATGCTGATGATAATCTGTAATTAAGTTTCAAATAAAACGATTTTTAAAAGTAGTTTTTCAGTCTTTTATTTATTTGTAATGTTTTTTTTTCTTTTTAGACTACTGGAAATTAATGACTGGTTTGTGGACAAAAAATTTGATTTTATATCATGTCTCAATGTGATCGATCGCTGTGATACTCCCCTACAATTATTACATCAAATAAGAGATGCATTAACCCCAAACGGAACACTACTGTTAGCTGTTGTACTACCATTTTCCGCATACGTAGAAGCAGGTAAGACTTCTATCATATATAGATATAGGTACTTACAATATATTTATATCAAGGGCATTATGCATTAATACATTTAATTTTTTGTAATTAGATATAAAGTATCATATCTAAGTTTCTTCCTTTCTTTATATTATTGTATTGTGTTTTATGGCACGATAAAACTTTATAGCTCTATCGAGAATAGGAAACGAATTTTTCGTTTCTTGTATGTTCTTTGGTTTTTTTTTATTTATATCTTGCTGTTCAGTAGTTTTGACGTGATTCTATCGGCACTTTTTATTAATAAAGATGTTTTAAATACTTGTTCAAACCACGTTCTCGGCGTTCAAACAGTTAAAAGCTATACAGAAAAATATCAAATGGTTAAGGGACAATTAATTACTATTTAACTGGGAATAAGCCACAATTAAAGATAAAAATACGTTTATTGACGTTTCAATTTCCACTTCGGAAATCGTTCTCAAAATCGTTGTTTGTATTTTGAGAACGATTTCCAAAGTGGAAATTGAAACGTCAATAAACGTATTTTTATCTTTAATTGTGGCTTATTCCCAGTTAAATAGTAATTAATTTAAAATGCCACAAGAAAATAGCTTCAGAACAATGTTAAGGGACAACAATCGAATCAATACGAAAACATGAACAGTTGCTGGACGCTGTAAAAGAAAAGTATTGTGGAGAAAACTTTGTACATTAAAAAAGTAGTGAGTATAGCTCACCAAAAGTAACCAAAAGAATAAAGATACTCTTCTTTTCAGTTGATGCTGAAAATCTTCAGATGATACGATCCGATACGTGTGAAACGTAGGTTATGATTTGTATCCACCAAAACCGTCCATCTATTGAAAAGGGCTTGGTGGAAAATCTATTCGCTACACCCTTTCTAGTCTTTTATTTGTTTGCTATCGCGTTTATTCTATAACACCCTCCCTGTAACTTTATTGCTTCCACCTTCTCTTCTATTGTCTTTTACCACTCTCACACTAAATAATAGTAATCTCACACTTATGGCATTCTTCCCGTTACTTTCGTTTACACACATTAATCTTCTCCTTGACAACATTTATGTTTGAACTTTGAAAATAAGGCTATTATCGAGCACAAGTTAATTAAATCTAGCCCAAGTACTTTCGCTTAAAATAGCATCTTCAGGGCATTTCGTCAAAATAAGAACTATCCGGCAAGCGTAGATTGTGGAAACATTAAAAATAACATAAATTATACAAAACACTACACTAAAACGAGGACAAACAGTTTAAAATTACTTCTACGCTACATTCTCTGTCAGTATCTGGATGGATAATATATCATTATCCATCCAGATACTGACAGAGAATGTAGCGTAGAAGTAATTTTAAACTGTTTGTCCTCGTTTTAGTGTAGTGTTTTGTATAATTTATGTTATTTTTAATATTTCCACAATCTACGCTTGCCGGATAGTTCTTATTTTGACGAAATGCCCCTGAAGATGCTATTTTAAGCGAAAGTACTTGGGCTAGATTTAATTAACTTGTGCTCGATAATAGCCTTATTTTCAAAGTTCATTTATTCGAGCATTCAACCTCATTTCATTTATTTATGTTTGAAGTAGGAACCAAAACAGTCTGCCTCGTGAACAACTTACTTTGACAATAGTGTATCTCTTTGTGTTTATGTCTAATTACGAGATTAATGATAATACACTCAGTTCACTCACCTTCTCCGTCTCTCCCGCCTATTTGCTTTGCAGCTCATCCATTACTCTCTCGCTCACACATTTTCGGTCCCACACTGTTCCCAATCTTTACAATCTTTAGTGCGTTTCTTAGTCATCAGATATATCTCACTTGCTTTAAGTGCACCAATATTCACTATCAGTATACTTAGGACTCACGTAGTTGGCCTCTTTAAAGACTATATTCTTTTCTCCTAATGGTTTCACTACTTTTATCATTTGAGGCGCAGCATCCGTTAAAAAAAGAATAAGTTTTTCGGCAGGAATAAATTGAGGCAGAAAAAATTGAATTAAAATTTATTGTATTCCTCTTGGAACATGGTCGCTGTCGGTGTTTTGCAATTGCTGAGAAGCGATCAGAAATGGCTTACATTATCACTATATTCTCGTGTAACACACCAATATATATCGCCCAGAGGACTCTGTTGTTTCATCTACGACGATACAAAAGTATTGTTCTGCTACAGTTTTTTGGATTTGATTCTCTATATATACGATTTCTACATATTTTTTATAATAAACTTTCTTCTGGTACATTGTTTTTGGCATGAGATCCCACTGAACATGGGTGTCGATGTCATCTGCACATGCGACAACCTACTACACAGATTTGTTAAAGATAGTGCGGTTTGTATTAATCTGGGCTCTCGAATTACGTTTTCTAGAACAAGGTTAAATAAGACACTATCACTTGTCATTAGTCCATTTTTGCAATGGAAGGGTCTTGAAAGATCGATCTGGATTCTGACCATGCTCACTGCTCCTGTGAGTGTAAGCTCAGTTAGTTGAATAAGATGAAGGGCTGTGGTCTGTGATAAATCGACTAAATTTAAGCCAATCTGCTGTATCTCGAGTGTATGGTCGGTACCAAGATACTAGTGATTATGTCCGCTGACAAAAAGGACGTCGTAAACGAATAACAACGGAGAGAGATGATCGATTTCTTGTATCGAAATCCCTGAAAAAATGACATTTGACTGGTGCTAATCACAAAAAAGAGCTTAGAGAGGTCCGAGGTGTGGTTACCAGCATTTGGACAGTCAGAATGAGACTGAAAGCAATCAGCCTGACACAAAAAAAGGCAGCTACGACTCCTAAGCTAACTGCAGCCCAGAAGCAAAGGCGATTAGAATTTGCTCGCGAACATCTGGATTGGGACGACTATCAATGGTCAATCAGGTATTATTCTCCGACGAAAGTATGATCTGCCTAGAGACATTTTGGGTGGATCTGTCAAGTTTACTAAAGATGTGTGATGTTTAAATGTTATTGTGAAGATGAATGGGAAAACTACAAAAGACTGAGGATCACAGAGACCCGAAAACCAAACCCTGAGGGAAATTGGATGAGTGAAAAGAAGTTGTAAATGATAATGAAAAACGCAGTATGAAAAGGTGAAGATGTGTGATTGAGTGGGTGATGGTGTATATTAATGAAAATTGTATTTGGAGAGAATGTGGCATGAACTGCTCTGAAATTATTTTGTTGGGAAGGAGTATGGAGAATATTGGTTATTAGGTCAGATTTGACGTTTGGATGCCTAGACAGAAGTGAGGAAAGAAGAGAAAGAAGTGAGGAGTTGGATATATTGAACAAAGTTTGAGGGGGCTAAGGATGATTAGTAGGTGATGAGAGAAGTATGAGAATTTAAATAATAATGAAGAAGTAAGTTTGATAATAAGTTATGAGAATAATTGACGGTGGAGCGGAAGAAAGTCTCGATTAAATAAAACATGGCGATTGACACAATTTGGACTTCTCTGTTTTTCTTTAATGATTTCTAATTTCTCAAATTAGACCTATATGAAGACCTAGAAATCATTAAAGAAAAACAGAGAAGTCCAAATTGTGTCAATCGCCATGTTTCATTTAATCGAGACTTTCTTCCGCTCCACCGTCAATTATTCTCATAACTTATTATCAAACTTACTTCTTCATTATTATTTAAATTCTCATCCTTCTCTCATCACCTACTAATCATCCTTAGCCCCCTCAAACTTTGTTCAATATATCCAACTCCTCACTTCTTTCTCTTCTTTCCTCACTTCTGTCTAGGCATCCAAACGTCAAATCTGACCTAATAACCAATATTCTCCATGCTCCTTCCCAACAAAATAATTTCAGAGCAGTTCATGCCACATTCTCTCCAAAAACAATTTTCATTAATATACACCATCACCCACTCAATCACACATCTTCACCTTTTCATACTGCGTTTTTCATTATCATTTACAACTTCTTTTCACTCATCCAATTTCCCTCAGGGTTTGGTTTTCGGGTCTCTGTGGTCCTCAGTCTTTTGTAGTTTTCCCATTCATCTTCACAATAACATTTAAACATCACACATCTTTAGTAAACTTGACAGATCCACCTTAAACACAATTACTCTTACATTTCCACATATTGTCACAATACACTCCATAAGCCTGTTAACTTTTCACCTACCTACACTCTAACTTATAACTCATCCTTTTTACTTTTATATTTCTTAGGTACCAAATGTTTCTTTTAACATATAGGGCCTTTTGTTTTCTTGAGTTATAACTCGAGCAATGTAGGAACAATATCACACCTAACCATCTTTCAGCCATCAAATTTCTTTCAGTCTGGCATACTTGCCCACACACATAAACAACCTACCATCTTTACTTTACACACATAACCAGTAATTCATGTTTACTTACTTATAACTTAAAAATCTATTTTATTTATCTTTACTAGGTACCAAATGTAGTTTTTTGACATAAAGGGCCTTCCATACTTAAGTTTTAAGTTGAGTACTACATGAACACCATATTATGATCACATTCTTGTCACATTTACATTTCAGCTCAATAACAGATCCAAACACACTTCCACCTATTACATCAATACTCAATAATATATCTTTTAGGACCCATCTTCCCACATGTGTCTTTTTACCATTTTCTAGGTACCAAATGTCTCACAACATACAGGGCCTTTTGACAAAATCTCTAGCTTAAAATAAATATATCCTTACACATGTATAGTTGGTTGCCTATCAATCCCACAAAATTTCATAAATTCTAGTTGACCTACATTAATTTTTAAAAAACCAATTTTCAATGTTACAAATATACCTATCTGATTAATTTACAATACAGATTACAATATTGATGGTTGATACTGTTACATTATTATAATTTTAACTTTTTTAATTTTAAATAAGGCTGACATCTGTCAATTTTAGACAACTACCATAAGTTACACTGACTGCTCTGACACAACATCCGTCCTAACTTGTCAACAATGTCATTATAATCAGTTGTTATCAACAGGTCCTCGTAGGCACTTCGTCTCAGGACCATTTTACTCATGTAGAGTCATACGCCGCCATGTTACCTATCCAACGGTAACTTAACCATCACAAATTAGAAACACTAATAATGTAAAACAATTTCAAATTTATAACTTTTAAGGGGTTTTTACCCATATATTTTGGTGGCTACTAGCATGTACAACCGTAAGTATTAACCACATTTTGCTCTAACCTTTGTCAACATTTTCATTTAACGTTCTTTTTAATTAAAGTGGTTATATACTTTCAGGTTTGCACTGATGATGGATTGTTTAATCCGAAAACGTTTTGCAATGTGTTTGTGATAGCCCGTTTGAGGCAATTTTATATACCTTTTATAAAGGATTTTAACAAATTTTTTTGTGATATATGGTATACAGCCAGCTACAGGAACTTAGTTTCCTCGTGGAATTTTAGAATATTTAAGTGGCGTCTATCCTTCTTCTTTCCGCTTTTCGTAGGGTCTAAGATATTAATGATTTTGTTGGTTAATAGATCTATATTCTTCGTCGAACGAATCTTCGTGTCTTCTAAACTTGTTAGATTTTAAAACGTCTTTAGCTGCCATGCTTACATTTTCTTCGATTTTTGATAGTAAACTTGACTTGTTGGATCCCTTTTAGATTATTGTTGGATGGTCCGATATCCCTATTATAAATATCATGTTGACACATTAGAAGTTCTGCTTGAATTAATAAGACATTGTGTATTTAGAATCCAGTAAACACTCACCTCAGTAATTAAAATTTAACAGTGTACAGTAAAACTATAACAACACTTAATATTTATAATTAATACAACCAATAAAAGCATGATTATAAACATAAAAATAAGATTTATTAATCATTGTTAGTTAATAACTATTTATGTTTTAGGAACAAATCATAAACCCCAAGAACTATTGCCGATAAGCGGACCTAATTTTGAAGATCAAGTTATGAGTGTAATAGAAAATGTCTTCACTCCGGCCAATTTTGAAGTCATTTCATGGAGCAGAGTTCCTTATTTATGTGAAGGAGATCTACAACAATCCTACTACTGGTTGGATGATGCAGTTTTCGTACTTAAACTAAAAGATTGCTAAATCTGAACTACCTACTGAAAGACACATAATTTTGTATTGTGAAAATCTCATGAAATATGTATAAGCTTAAAAGAGTGTTTTTAAATTTTTTTTATTTACAAAATAATTTAACCAAATAATAGAGAGTAGGTAGGTATATTTTTAATCGTTTACGTAGCAATAAAAGTGCAAACCAACTCTTAAACATATGTCGATTCCAGAACCCACGGGATCAAAGAGAAAAAATTAGGTTTTGATATAATTAAAGTTAAAATTAAAAACATATCAGGTCGTGTTTGTAGTTACACTATATTTTTAACGTAGATTTTTATTCTATAACTATCTCAACTCATAAAAACTCGGTCATTCATATTAAAAAAATCTTTTGCGCGGTTTTATGTAATTAAATTCTACATAGTTTTGGATACTGCACTTGGATCTCTTGTAACACTGCACTTGGGTATATTGCCTTTTAAGTGTAGATGAATAATGACACCGATTGAAATAAAAAATATTGTTCTATATTGGTCATACATAAAAATGTAACGTGTGGTTTAAGTTAATCATGATCTGTCATAAACCTTATCTCTGTCGTCACATTATGCTCATCTTGATATTGAGCTTGAGGCTAAGTACCTAGTGTATGTAACTCCTTGAGGAAGTCTTAGAACGAAAAGTCCTAAGGATAATATTTGAACCTATTAACGAAAACGGAGTGTAGAGATTAACCATGAACTCTGCCAACTCTTCAAAGTGTCACCGATCTCAGAATTCTTAAACTTCAGAGACTTCGATGGGCTGGTCATGTAGTGAAAATGGAGACCGGAAGATTGCCAAAAAGAGCTCTAGATAGTAAAATGCAGGGCTAAAGACCAAAAGGAAGGCCACGGAAAAGGTGGTAGGATGAAGTGGCAGCGGACGCGCAAAAGTTGCTAGACTGGAGAACCTGGAGAAGGTCGGCGCGGGACCGACGAGGTTGGAGGCATAGTTTGGAGGAGGTCAAGGCGCCATTGGAGAGAGGGAGTGAGAAAGAGAGAGAGAAAATACACTGTACAAACTGTAGCAGTTAATTTGGTTTTTCATTTTTTCCGGTTTAATTGTCGGCATTGAATTTGCTGGTTGTAGAGTCAGGAGGTTAGAATTTAATTTTTCCGCATTTTTTGATCGCAATAATATATGGCTTCACTGTCTCAGGCTTCCTGCCAATTTTTATGAATAGTAGCATGTATATTTTTTTTTAATAAAGAATTTGAGTTTGTCGGATGCCTTTCACCTTTTCAGGGAAAAACTCATTCAGATTATCAATGTTAACAAAAACTTCATCCCTTATTTTAACTACAATAAATTTCTTACTTAATGAGGCTATATAAGGTATCCAGTCACCTGAAGCATACATCTGCTTAAGTATCTACTTCTTCAAGTGCCGTCTTGGTTCCGAAGTTTGGCTATCATCAAAGCTATGCGTATTTTTGATGCTGCAGATCTAAACAGTTGGTAATTGGTGCAATTGTACCATTCTCTCAATTTTTTCAACCATGAATGCCTTCTTCTTCCTATAGATCTCTTTCCCATTATCTTTCCCTGTATAATCAATTGCAGCAACTGGTATTTATCTCCCCTCATAACATGTCCCAAATATTGTAGTTTGCGCTTTTTAACAGTAAGTATCAGCTCTTTCTCTTTCCGCACTCTCCGCAAAACCTCCACATTTGTTACTTTCTCTGTCCAGGGTATTTTTAATATTCTACGATACATCCACAACTCAAATGCTTCTATCTTTTTGGTATCGATCTTTTTCAATGTCCATGTTTCCATCCCGTAGAGGAGAACATAACGTAACATCTCAAAAGGCGAATTTTAAGTTTTAGACTTAGATCTCTTCCGCAGAACACCTTTTTCAATTTAGTAAATGTGGCTCTAGCTTTCTCTATTCTGGTTCTGATTTCTTCAGAGCAGTCATTATTTTCGTTGATAACAGATCCCAGGTAAATATATCTTCTTACACGTTCGATTCTTTGATCATGCACGGTTATGTCAGGGAAGTTTTGTGGTGATTTAGATATTAGCATTATTTTTGTTTTGCTTATGTTAAGTGATAATCCGTGTTCTTCACTGCATTCTACTATATCAGTATCTACTATCTATCTATAAAAAGGTGATTCCTCAAAAACTAACAATTACAGCCTTATAAGCATTAGTTTTCCTTTTGGGAACGTGGATATTCACAATAATAAATTTTATTCCAAATCCTTTATAAAAGGTATATAATAAAATGCCCAAACGGGCTATCACAATTACATTACAGAACGTTTTCGGAATGTTAATTCCATCATCAGTGTTAACCTGAAAGCATATAACCACTTTAATTAAAAAGAACGTTGAATTTAAAATGTTGATCCTACAAAATTTCATATACTTCAGTTTACCTACATTAATTTTTAAAAAACAATTGTTTCAATGTTTTCAACATAGATACAGGATTAATTCACATTACAGACTACAACATTGATGGTTGATACTGTTACATTATTATAATTTTAATTTTTTTAAATTTAAATAATGCTGGCTTCTGTCATTTTTAGACAACTACCTTAAGTTACACTGACTGCTCTGACCCAACATCCGTTCTAACATGTCAACAATGACATTTTTATCAGTTGTTATCAACAGGTCCTCGAAGACACTTCGTCTCAGGACCATATAACCTATGTAGGGTCATACGTCGCCATGTTACCAATTCCAACGGTAACTTAAACATCCTAATTTGTAATTATAAATAATGTAAAACAACTAGAAATTTGTAACATTTAAAGGGTTTTGACCCATATATTTTGGTGGCTCATAGCATGTACACTCTGTAAGTATTAACCACATTTTGCTTTAACCTTAGTCAACATTTTAAATTCAACGTTCTTTTTAATTAAAGTGGTTATATGCTTTCAGGTTAACACTGATGATGGAATTAATATTCCGAAAACGTTCTGTAATGTAATTGTGATAGCCCGTTTGGCATTTTATTATATACCTTTTTAAAGGATTTGAAATAAAAAATTTTGTGATATATGGTATACAGCCAGCTACATGAACTTAGTTTCCTATTGGAATTCACAATAATAATTTAGAAGTGCTCGTTCTACTACGAATGCCGCACATTATGTTGTGAGCGAGGTGATCGAGCGACTTTGCGACTTGTCGAAGGCTTTTGACTGCGTTTCATACGACATTTTGCTCCACAAATTAAATTACCATGGGATCAGCGGTATCCCTCTTAAACTTATAACGTCTTGCCTATATGGCAGAGACCAGGCGGTAGTGTCTAAAGGTCATCTCTCCGATTTTCGATCCGTTAAACATGGAGTCTTACAAGGTTCGATCTTAGAACCTTTTTTGTTTATTATTTATGTCAACGATTTGCCTAAATTCATATCTCCGTACAAATGCACTTAAAATTTTCAGTATGCAAAAGAAAGCTATCAGGATTTAGCAGGGGTTAGTTATCTAGAATATTGCTGAGCTTTCTTTACCAAATTCAAAATTATACCACTACCTACTGTGTTGATATTTTAAGTTTTGACTGAAATACACAGAAAACGGGCCAATTTAATAAAGAACTATGATGTTCACTTTTACAATATGCGAAACTGTCACTAGGTAGTACCTAGTTACATAACCTACAATATTTTACCAAAACATGTTAAACACCTAAGCTATAATAGTTTCGGAAAAGTTATAAAAATATCTGCTGAAACATTTCTTCTACAGCTGAGAAGAATATATGACTCATTGCAGAACATTCACTGAATTGCTTACCGTGACTTTGCTATAAATCATTTTCTGTTACTCTGTGCTCTTGTTTGTGATGTTTTAAAGTTACGTTATATATTCCTTTTTTATGGACTACCTATGCATTTTTGACTTGCTACAAACAATATTTTTATTTGTAAAGAAGTTAAATACATAAATCAATCAAATCAGTTAATCAATCTCTCGGTTGTTATTTTTCTTTTGGTTTCTCTTCCAAAGTCCAAAACCTTTAAAAAAAGTTTAGTGACTGGCTTAATGACAGTGTTTTTGACTAAATAAAACTAAAACTTATGATAAGTGGCTCTGGTTTTTTTGATATGTGGTTTTATTTAACTTAATTTATGAAACTGGCTGCTATCCTCAACAGTGGTTACGCTCTACCTTTATTCCCCTGCCCAATAAAGTCAATGCAAAAAGATATGAGGATCACAGACTCATTGGCCTGATGAGTCACACTTTAAAGATATTCTTAAAAATACTACATCAAAGATTATACAAAAAATGTGAATGGGACATCAGTGATTCCCAGTTCGGGTTTAGGCAAGGTTTAGGAACACGAGAAGCAATAGTAGCAACACAGGTGCTGGTCCAAAATTGTTACGATCAGAAGAAGGATGTGTTCCTATGCTTTTTGGATTACCAAAAAGCATTTGATCGTGTCCAACACCACAAGTTAATGCAGATCCTCAAGAAAGTTGATATAGACCAAAAAGACATAAGATGCATTGAAAACTTGTACTGGCATCAAACGGCACAGTTAAAAATAGACAATTCTATATCCAAACCCATACATATAAGAAGGGGCGTTCGACAGGGATGTGTGCTTTTCCCTCTTTTATTTAACATTTATTCGGAAGCCATATTTCAAGAGTCTTTGGAGGATGCAAAGATGGGAATCAAAGTGAATGGAGTATTGATCAACAACATACGATATGCTGATGATGGTGTCTTAATTTGTGACAACATAGTCGATCTTCAACAACTTGTCACTATAATCGGAGAATACAGTAAGCGAATGGGATTAGAGATTAATACCAAAAAACCAAATTTATGATCATCTCCAGAAACTTGGATGCCCTTGAAAACTCCACCATAACACTGAATACTAAGTCCATTGAAAGAGTGAGTAAATTTAAATACCTGGGATCGTGGCTTTTTGAAGACTGGGCATCGGACAGGGAAGTAAAATGTCGCATTGAGCAAGCTCGACAAGCTTT